ATCGGCCAAGGAAAGTTAGTTAAGTTTGAGGTGTTGATTATAGATAAAGTTTCTGACAACCAAACTGTTGTTCTCACCTCACCATCGCTTTACACTTTTTGATGACGTTGATCATTTTGGAAATCCATGATGATGTGTTCCTTGGACAGTATGATGGAGTATCGCTTACATTTTCCAACGGTAGAACCGTTCAAAATGAACCATCATATATATGACCTAGAGTCAACATGTTTCATTTTCATTTGAAAACCGAATGGTACTTCTCTGTGGAGAAATATGTCCAAATCTTTATTAACCTTAGAACTTCCCAATTTCACTTACTTTTGGAAAAAGCTAAGTTTCTGACAGCAGCATTGGAAGAACTAAATCAATGTCTATGATTGCATTATCGTGGATCATCCCGGTTGTGCAAACATAATTATTAAGCACCGTAGTAAGAGTTGTTTCTACCCCTAATCATTTTCAGTCATCCTTATCCCATTCCAGTTGAACTTCACGAGTATCGATATGATGTAGGGGTGGGTTCAAAAAACCGAAAACCGAAAAAAGCCGAAAACCAAACCGGACCGAGGCCGAAAAAAAACCGAACCGAAAAAAATCGAACCAAAACTCTCAACTGAACCGAACCGAACCGATATATATATATATATTTGATTATTTTTTCAATGTTTATAAATAGTTTAGTTATACAATTATAACAAGATAGAACTTGTTGTGAAGTTGGTTTTAGTGAAACTTTCCAAGCTAGTGGAGCGCATGGGTTCGAACCCTCTTTATGCCTCCCGGATTTTGGAGATTTTTTTTAAAATTTTTATGACCAAATCAAAAAAACCCTAGCGCAGCCACACTTTTACTATTTTTCATTCCCCTTTTCTCTCTCTCTTGTCCCCTGCCTTCCTCCATGTCCATTTCTCCATTCTTCTCCATAACCCGCATCCTCCTTTCTATTCCAAGCTTTATATTTGTGAGACCCTCCATGTCCATGCCTCCAATTTATCCCTCTTCTCTCTCAGTCCTTATTCTGGCTCTAGTACCCATCCCCATTGCTACGAGCATGCTGACCCTACGACATCCCCTCTTATCTCTCAATCAAAAGGTATTTAGTTTTAGGGATTTAGGAAGAGTAGCTTAGGGTTTTCTAGATTTAGGGATTTTGGGTTATTGATTTGCTGTTAGTGTATGAGATTCAATATTGATTTTGTGCAGATTTTGTGTGCTACAGATTTTGTGCAGATTTTGTGTGATGCAGATTTTGTGTGAATGAGATTTTGTAGTGTATGAGATTCAATATCTGTGTTTGTTTCTTTCCATCTGATTCAATCCAAGTTTATTTTATTTTATTTTTCTTGTGTTGGATAAAAGATTCATGTTCTGACCAAAAAAATTAGCTTTTCCCCTCTTCATATTTTGCTGCATCAATAGCAGCCCACAAATCCTGCAAACCCTAAATGAATATAATTGTTGTTGTGATTTGTAGATGAAGATAGTGGTTTGATCAATACCAATATCTAGATTTACAAAAAAAAAAAATCATGGTAAAAACCGAACTGGGCTGAAACCGAACCGAAATTTTGGTTCAGTTTCGGTTTTGGCAAAAAACCGAACCGTTTCAAACTGAACCCAGCCCTAATATGACGTTACCTTTAACCTATCAAGAAATCGTTTAAATGGTTATAATCACTTTTTGTATCCAAATGCAAATGGGAAATATCACCATAAGCTCCTGGTACGAGGTATCTTGTACATGTGGAGATTATGATGATGTTTCGATGTTTATAGATCGATTTGACAAGTCAACCCATTTTTCATTGGTTAAGAGGGACTATATTTTGGACCAGTTGGTAAAATTACCCATTATTGAATTTATCGGATTTTCTGGCATTTCGATCAACATCTTTTCTGACTATGACTCCATATTCATTCACTTGTGTTGGAAAGACGTTCTAGTCAACTTTGGTTATGTGTCTACTCGACTGCAGTCGTATTATTTCGAAGACAAGTAGCATGTTCAAAAGAATTGCTTGGATAGGAATTCACAATAGGTCGACTTGGCGGATGCGTGCGCCAGTTTCATATCGATGCTAGTAGGAACCATTGGAGTATAATCTTCTTGTGACTTTACCAGACTTACCAAGAAAAACTCCAAGTGGCTTTGAGGATTGAGCACTATTTCAGCATGGTATTGGTGAAGGTATGAACCTCGGTTATGAGCTTGGCGATTGTGGCGTTAATTTTCAAGTGTGGCTCGAAACTACAACTGTCATCCAAGAATGTCGTCAGAGATATGGTTTCTCTAATTTAAGCTTTCGGATCTTATACCCTTCGATTTGGAGAGCAACTCTAGTGATTAGTCATGAAGGAAGCTTTTCGCAATATGTGTTTGTCTCTACGTATATTTCCACTGCTTCACTCCAAGGTCTTATTGTTGTGGGAACGTGGACGTCGAAACACTTCTAGCAACTAGTTTGGTGCACTCTAAGACAGTACAGTATCGCGATCGAGGCATGAATCGGACGATCTAGGCACACATGAGGAGCAAAATGATATTTGGCATCCTCGGGAACTTCTCACTGGCTTATTGAGACAATGATGAGTTATTGGCATTACAGGCTGCAAATTGTAACATCGATGGCTTAATTGTTGGGTTCACTAAGCAAGTGGGCAAGAAGGCTCATCTATGACAACACTTACTAGTTAGCTATGGTTCAGACTCATTCTCAAAGTTCATGACACGACGAATGTTTGCGCGAGGTTCATTTTCATTTTGGGTTTTGATTTTTCATGCAAATATTTTTTTACTACATTATTTTATTTATATGGGTATTTCTGCCATTACAAATTTTAGGTGAGTTATTTCCACTCTTGGTTTTAAACTCAATAAAAGTATTTGAATCGTACACTATATATATATATATATGTATGTATATATATATAAGGAAGAAGGTATGAGCTTGGAGGCATGAAAGAGGAATAATTGCAATCCAATCGCGGCGGAATGACATTCTTTTTTATGCAGCCACTCTAAGGGCTGGTTTGGTATTACTGTGCTTTGAAAAAAAGCTGCTGTGAGAATAAGCGGCTGTGCTGTGAAAATAAGCGGCTGTGAAATAAAGCAGCAAAGTGTTTGGCAAACTTTTTTGTAAAAGTGCTTTTGGAAAAAAAAAAGCAGTATGATAGTGTTTGGTAAACTTTTTTGTAAAACAGCAGTGACTGTGTGAAATGACCAAAAAAGGTATAATACTAGATGTGCTATTAATTTAATTTTCTTAACAAATAAAAATGAATTACTAAATATATTTTATTTTTAGAAGAAAAATATTTATAAACTTTATCTTAAATATTAATTAGTATGACAAACTACTTTAATAGAAATATTTTAGAGTGAATAGCTAGGATTCATTAGTACAATATTGTTAATGTACTTGAAAGTAGTCTAATTAGATGCATTCATCAAACTTGTTGCTATTCTATTTCTTAATGCCTCTATCTTATGTGATCCTTCAACTTGATAATTTTGATATTCATCATCATCATCATCACTACTATCGCTTTCTTCGCAAAAGTCCCTGGGGTCATCAAAATGACGATCACGTTCAGAATACCTCCGTATGTAGTTATGAAGAGCCATTGTAGCAATGACAATCTTCACTTGCTTATTGAACGGGTAATTAGGCATATCCCTTAAAATTGCCCATCTTTTCTTCCATACCCCAAAAGTTCGTTCAATGATGCTCCTAAGAGAAGAATGCCTGTGGTTGAATACCTCTTTGTGACCCGTTGGTTCAACACCCCTACGAAAGTCCGGGAGGTGATATCTTTCACCTTTATATGGTCCCAAATAACCTCTCATTTGTGGGTACCCCGCATCTACCAAGTAATATTTTCCTGACAATTGAAAATTTGTTTTGTATTGTAATAATTATACAAAGCAAGTATGTAAAATGTTATAATAAAAGTATGAAGATTACAATTTGGAGGCTCAAAAAAGTTTAAATTTGGATTCCCTAGCACGGATAGAAAAACCCTTGTATCATGTGCAGTGCCTTCCCATCCGGCACAAGCAAATGTGAATTGCATGTCAAAATTACATGCAGCCATAACATTTTGAGTCGGTATTCCTTTCCTACCAATGTATGGAACTTGATCCGGAGGTGGTATTGAAGCCTCAACATGCACTCCGTCTATGGCACCAATACAATCCTAAAAATAATAATATAGAAGAAAACCGTCAATCTACACTTATAGTTTGCAAATAAGTTAAAAGACGAGTCAAACTTTACCTTAAAATAAGGCATGTATCTTGTATCTCTCCTTATTTCTGGGGGAATGCCACGAAACTCCGAATCCATTGGTTTGATAATATCTATTGCCATCTTACATACGATATCCAACATAGCACCAAAATATCTACTAACAGTCTCACCAGAATGTTGAAATCTCTCTTGAGCTAATCTATTTTTCACACCATGTCCCAACATATGCAAGAACATTCCTAATATTTCAGTTGCATTCATTTTCCTTGAACCTTTCAATCCATAATTAGTTTGCAAGTCATTGGATAATCTATGAAAGACATCTTTGTTCATCCTAAACATTCTATAGCATCGCACATCATTTCCTTGCAGTACTTCCATCAACCAAATATTACTTGTATGGGAAGAATTCATACATGGAGTTTTGTGGACATATTTTAAATAATATGTTTCAACAGCTCTCGCTACAGCGCATATAATTAGACCATCCCCCAACTCCTCAACATCATCATCAGAGGTGTTCATATTGAATATACCTTTAACCTAACACATAAATCAACATTCCACAAGTCATAATCTAACAATCACTAAGAAGTCATAATCCGACATTCAAGAACAAGTCAATCCAACGTTTAACAAGAAATCATAATCCAACATTCAATAAACACAAAATACAAGCAACATTCAACACATAGTCTTAATGCAAAGTACAAACTCCACAAAGTCCTAATTCATAGTTATAGCTTCTTATTGTTCTTTGTTGAACATATATTTCAACCAAGTCTGCTGGACTTCAGGATCTTGTATCGTGGTAAACACCTCTCGCTTCTCTGCAGAACAAAATAAACATGTAGCAAACAACCATAACTCGCTAGGTGGCTCACAACCAGGCAATTGTGCAACAACCGCTAACACTTCCAGAATACTACTACCTATATGCAGTGACCTCATCAATGAGTTTGCAGAACTCCTAGTTTCACAAGCTTCAACAAGACGGTCAATTTGACCACAAAGTTTTGCAGCACCTCCAATTTTTTTCCCTTTCTTATCAACCTTCTTCTTTTGCAATTCTCCTTGGTTAGCCGCTCTTTTTTTTCCCTTCCTACTTGCTTGCCTTAGATCCTGCATAGTCTCAATTTCTTCCTCATCATATGAATCAATTTGTCCTACAGATTCCTCTCTTGACTCTGGTGGTAGTACTCCAGATGAAGGTGCCCAGGCATGTTCACCGGTAGCAATTGTACTCAAGAACATCCTATCTAACTTGTCCTCCATCTCAGGACTAATGCCTTTTTTTCGCAATTTTCCATATTCTTTGTTTATCTACAAGTAAGAAAGAATATGGTTAATACATATTGCATGATATCATAATACATATTAAAATATAAATACACAAACCTGAATTTTATTGTTCCACCACTCCTCAGAGGCATCAACGGTACCCTTGCTTGAATTCCACCCTAGGCCAGTTTCTTTACCAACTAGCTCTTTCCACAACTTCCACTCATTTTTAAGTGCATCCCACTTATTTTTCAGTTGTTTTTTTTCATAATCATGCCCTGTCTCTGCCTTGAAGTTAGCTCTAATATTTGCATATCCTTCTTTGTCAAAGTGAGTGCCTGGACGATGTCCGGCCTCAACCTCCTTGATGCAAACATCACAAAATATTGATATATTGTACACATTCCATGTAGCTACAGGATTTGACGAAGATGCCCCCTTCTTTGCCATCGATACCAACTACTGATTTGTATATATACATATATATATTAAAACACAAACAAATGATATTGTAATATAACCAAGAAATAACCAATAAATGATGACTCACTTGATGACTCGACTTCGGTGCAGTTTGGGATAGAGGTGATTAAAAAAAAAGCTACTATGAAAAAAAGCTATGAAAATTTTTGGTGTTTGGTAAACTTTGAAAAGCAGCTTTGTTTCAAAGTTTGGGGTGAAAAAAAGCCCAAAACCTGACGCTGACAAGAAGCTGCAAATAGCAGCTTCCAAAAAACAGCATATTTTCAAAACACACGGGTGAACAGTGTACGTTTAATGAAATATTGAATAACCCAAAACTGCCCTCCTTTCCCTTCACCTCACCTTTCAGAGCTCTCGCACATAACCCGAACCAGGAGTTTCTCCACTTTCTTGTTCGCTCGTTCTCTCGTTCCAAAAACTAGCGATCTCTCTCGTTCTCCAGGTTTCTCCAGGTAAGCTTCTCTTGTAAAATTTTTTTATTTATTTGTTTGGATTTTTCAAATTGGGGATGGGGAGATTAGGGAAAGAGGGGTGGGAAGAGCAAAGGGATGAGGGTATGGGTGTCGGGAAAAACAATTGGGGATGGAGGGTGGGGAAAAATTAATTGGGGAAGGTGATATGGTTTGTGGAAAAAATTAATTGGGAAAAAATTAATTGGGGAAAAAAATTAGGGTTTGTGGAGGAAACAAAAAAAATTGAGAGAGAAGTTTGATTACTTCTGTATTCGTTTTTTTAAAGAAGGTCTGCTTCTGATTTGGGTTTATGTAAGGGATAAGTTGTTTTGCTCTGCTTCTAATCTGTGAACTGTGCTTCTGATTTGTCATGTGTTTTTTGGGTCAAAATATTCCTCAAAAGTTCCGGGTTTATGTTGCAGGTGACACATTAGAAGATCCCAGGATTGAAGATCGCAGCCAAGAAGTAACCAATAAATGATTACATCACAGTTTGGGTTATTGATATAATATCAAACCAAAAGGAGGTTTAGGATCTGAATGAGTGGAGAGTTATTTTTAGCTTACTGCTCATTGTCAATCGTGGCTTTTACACTTTAAAAGATATCTATTCACAGAGATGGGGAGCTAGACAAATGCTGTGATTGATGACTATATGGAAGGAAGTTAGGAACTTAGTGCTGTAAGTTTTTCTGGAGTCACCATGAACTTTAAATGCCTTCTAACTTTTGATCCTCGTTCAAATAGTTATTAGGCCTTTATGGGCCACTGGATTTCATTTTGATTAATGTTTGTGAAATGTTATAAGAATTACAACGATATAATGTAAAGGACGATATGCACCCTAAAATTTATGTTTATTTCTATCTCAAATGCTCCTTTGAGTAGTTAGACAAGTTAATAATCATTCATAGATAACGTTCTATATGTCCTTGCAAGTATTTTCTTACTTTTGCATTTGGGTGGAGAGAGAGAGAGAGAGCTTAGTTCGAAGTTCTTTTAGGCCTGCTAGCCAAGTAAACATGATCACTTTTGTTTCACATACAATATAGAAGTCAACAGTTGTAGGCTGCATGCAGCGCACAACTGCTGAAAGATCCATTTGTATCCTTTATGTCTTGCTCTGTGGGTGGCTGAGTCCCCAAAGAACATACTAATGTGGTACATAATTTGACAAAAATTTGACTTTTATGTAGTGCCGAGTCCAAGGCAAAGATGCGTTCTTCACTTAGACGTGTGTGGGGACAACGTTTGAAGTGGAAACAGTTAAGGGAGAAGATTTTTCTTTCATGGGTAGAAAGCATAGCAGAGGAAGCGATCCCTTGATCATTGGTATCATCTATCCCTTGATCATTGCCTATGGTAGTACGCGTGCACGTACACTCACGTACACTTACAGTTTGTAATACATATACATACATATACATACAAAAGATTACATCATAGTTTTGGTTCACAATTTGTATATATACATACATATAAATACATATACATACATAACCAATAAATGATTACATCACAGTTTGGGTTCTATAAATTTATGGTGTGGGCCAACTCAAAGTTTTGTCTCAAGCAGCTTAAAGACATACATAACCAATAAATGATTACATCACAGTTTTGTCTCAAGCAGCTTAAAGACATTTTCCTGAAATAGAAACCAATAGTAGTTTGGAGAACATACTATTCGCTCGTTAGAAAAAGATCAATTTTGGCAAAAACCAATCAAACACAGACAGAAGTAGCATTACCCATGTATCTTCCCTTCACAGGTTTTCTAAATAATGAAGAAAGAATCTGATCTCATTTCTAAGAAAACCCTTTTTGTTAAATCAAATGTCTTGAAGCACACAGATATACTCATCATAAACAGAAACACGGGTTTGACAGACTAACTGTGAAATTGAGGCAAACTATGACAGTGGAACCGCGAATCCAATTTACATTTTTCCCAATGATTGAGAGCATGTAGCCAGCAAAGTTGAGCGAATTATAAATATAACCGAAAGAGAATAACAAAAGTGACCTGAACCGTAAAATTCACCAAAAATAGCTCGTGCAACCAAAACACGTGAAAATTTCCAGATCCAAAGTAGACACCCGAAACTAAGTTGTATCAAAATTTCATTGATTTTCGAGTTCGGGAAGTGTAAGAAAATTTAAAACTAAAACAGGTATGCAGCTGTGTTTAAATGCTCCTGTAAAAACAATTTTAGCAGCACCAAATTACATACATACATACATATATATACATACATATATAAATGATCCCTTACTACAGTTGTGTTTAAATGCTTTAGCTATAGCTCGGGACTCCTTAAGGTGATTAAAAAAAAAGCTACTATGAAAAAAAGCTATGAGAATTCTTGGAATAAGTTTAGTTCAAATTCTTTCCACATATTTGAGTGATTTGTTAGTCATACCCTGAAAATAACCCCCACATGAAAAAAATACAAAACTGGATTCCTGTTATTTCAGCAATGATATTATCATAAGACTACAAGCTTTAATGTATCCACTATTTTCTTTTGTTTAATATTAGTTGGGTCCAGTAACCCTTCCAACCCATCTTCCCTATAATTTCCTATAACTAAATTAATCTGCGTATGGTGTATCTGTGGATTATGAAAATCTAGAAATTATATTCACAATTTGAGTGTTAAACAATGTATAAATTGGTATCTCAAGTAAAATGTACAGAATACCATCCAGAAAATAAAGATGCATTCCAATTCATATACAAGCATTCCCCTTTTATCTCTACATGGTATATATGAAGTTAGAAGGCAAAACGGGTGAAACATTCATAATGCCTAAAATTGCCCTTCCCTAACTTGAAATCCAAATGATAGACAATTTTAAAAAAAAACAAAATAAAAACAAACAAAAAAAATCTAATGTGAGCTGCAACTTAATTTCATACTCAGTTTGGAAACTCATCTATTCCTGATCAAGTTCGTATTATCTCTAATATGAACAAAATCATGAACAGATAAACAAAACCTAGAGGTGATAATCACATAAACCTAAGAATTTCTTGTTCCCTTTTCTATTTATTTCCTCTTTCTGTTTCCAATAATCAAAGGACAAAAGAAATTGAAACAAAAGCTGTTTCAAATTCTTCTTCCGGATTTATTTTGATATTTTCCCAGTCTAGACTTATGAAAATTCTTGGACTCAATTTGTGTCATTAGTGAAAGGGAAAATACAATGGCATCATGTAAAAAAAAATTAAGCTTTCCAGCAAAAACCAAAGAGAGTAAGAGTGTCCATGCTTAAAACTCAGAATCTTTTAATAATAAAATTTATTGTAACTTGTGCATATCAAGGAAAACAAACCAGAATTTTGGAGAATATAAACCCTCTGACTTCTTGGCTGCGATCTTCAATCCTGGGATCTTCTAATGTGTCACCTGCAACATAAACCCGGAACTTCTGAGGAATATTTTGACCCAAAAAACACATGACAAATCAGAAGCACAGTTCACAGATTAGAAGTAGAACAAAGCAAATTATCCCTTACATAAACCCAAATCAGAAGCAGACTTTCTTTAAAAAAACGAATACAGAAGTAATCAAACTTCTCTCTCAATTTTTTTTGTTTCCTCCACAAACCCTAATTTTTTTCCCCAATTAATTTTTTCCCAATTAATTTTTTCCACAAACCATATCACCTTCCCCAATTAATTTTTCCCCACCCTCCATCCCCAATTGTTTTTCCCGACACCCATACCCTCATCCCTTTGCTCTTCCCACCCCTCTTTCCCTAATCTCCCCATCCCCAATTTGAAAAATCCAAACAAATAAATAAAAAAATTTTACAAGAGAAGCTTACCTGGAGAAACCTGGAGAACGAGAGAGATCGCTAGTTTTTGGAACGAGAGAACGAGCGAACAAGAAAGTGGAGAAACTCCTGGTTCGGGTTATGTGCGAGAGCTCTGAAAGGTGAGGTGAAGGGAAAGGAGGGCAGTTTTGGGTTATTCAATATTTCATTAAACGTACACTGTTCACCCGTGTGTTTTGAAAATAAGCTGTTTTTTGGAAGCTGCTATTTGCAGCTTCTTGTCAGCTTCAGGTTTTTGGTTTTTTTTCACCCCAAACTTTGAAACAAAGCTGCTTTTCAAAGTTTACCAAACACCAAAAATTTTCATAGCTTTTTTTCATAGTAGCTTTTTTTTTAATCACCTCTATCCTAAACTGCACCGAAGTCGAGTCATCAAGCGAGTCATCATTTATTGGTTATTTCTTGGTTATATTACAATATCATTTGTTCGTGTTTTAATATATATATATATATATATATATGTATGTATGTATATACATATATGTATGTATATATACAAATCAGTAGTTGGTATCGATGGCAAAGAAGGGGGCATCTTCGTCAAATCCTGTAGCTACATGGAATGTGTACAATATATCAATATTTTGTGATGTTTGCATCAAGGAGGTTGAGGCCGGACATCGTCCGGGCACTCACTTTGACAAAGAAGGATATGCAAATATTAGAGCTAACTTCAAGGCAGAGATAGGGCATGATTATGAAAAAAAAAACAACTGAAAAATAAGTGGGATGCACTTAAAAATGAGTGGAAGTTGTGGAAAGAGCTAGTTGGTAAAGAAACTGGCCTAGGGTGGAATTCAAGCAAGGGTACTGTTGATGCCTCTAAGGAGTGGTGGAACAATAAAATTCAGGTTTGTGTATTTATCTTTTAATATGTATTATGATATCATGCAATATGTATTAACCATATTCTTTCTTACTTGTAGATAAACAAAGAATATGGAAAATTGCGAAAAAAAGGCATTAGTCCTGAGATGGAGGACAAGTTAGATAGAATGTTCTTGAGTACAATTGCTACCGGTGAACATGCCTGGGCACCTTCATCTGGAGTACTACCACCAGAGTCAAGAGAGGAATCTGTAGGACAAATTGATTCATATGATGAGGAAGAAACTGAAACTATGCAGGATCTAAGGCAAGCAAGTAGGAAGGGAAAAAAAAGAGCGGCTAACCAAGGAGAATTGCAAAAGAAGAAGGTTGATAAGAAAGGGAAAAAAATTGGAGGTGCTGCAAAACTTTGTGGTCAAATTGACCGTCTTGTTGAAGCTTGTGAAACTAGGAGTTCTGCAAACTCATTGATCAGGTCGCTGCATATAGGTAGTAGTATTCTGGAAGTGTTAGCGGTTGTTGCACAATTGCCTGGTTGTGAGCCACCTAGCGAGTTATGGTTGTTTGCTACATGTTTATTTTGTTCTGCAGAGAAGCGAGAGGTGTTTACCACGATACAAGATCCTGAAGTCCAGCTGACTTGGTTGAAATATATGTTCAACAAAGAACAATAAGAAGCTATAACTATGAATTAGGACTTTGTGTAGTTTGTACTTTGCATTAAGACTATGTGTTGAATGTTGCTTGTATTTTGTGTTTATTGAATGTTGGATTATGATTTCTTGTTAAACGTTGGATTGACTTGTTCTTGAATGTCGGATTATGACTTCTTAGTGATTGTTGGATTATGACTTGTGGAATGTTGAATTATGTGTTAGGTTAAAGGTATATTCAATATGAACACCTCTAATGATGATGTTGAGGAGTTGGGGGATGGTCTAATTATATGCGCTGTAGCGAGAGCTGTTGAAACATATTATTTAAAATATGTCCACAAAACTCCATGTATGAATTCTTCCCATACAGGTAATATTTGGTTGATGGAAGTACTGCAAGGAAATGATGTGCGATGCTATAGAATGTTTAGGATGAACAAAGATGTCTTTTATAGATTATCCAATGACTTGCAAACTAATTATGGATTGAAAGGTTCAAGGCAAATGAATGCAACTGAAATATTAGGAATGTTCTTGCATATGTTGGGACATGGTGTGAAAAATAGATTAGCTCAAGAGAGATTTCAACTTTCTGGTAAGACTGTTAGTAGATATTTTGGTGCTATGTTGGATATCGTATGTAAGATGGCAATAGATATTATCAAACCAATGGATTCGGAGTTTCGTGGCATTCCCCCAGAAATAAGGAGAGATACAAGATACATGCCTTATTTTAAGGTAAAGTTTGACTCGTCTTCTAACTTATTTGCAAACTATAAGTGTAGGTTGACGGTTTTCTTCTATATTATTATTATTTTTAGGATTGTATTGGTGCCATAGATGGAGTGCATGTTGAGGCTTCAATACCACCTCCGGATCAAGTTCCATACATTGGTAGGAAAGGAATACCGACTCAAAATGTTATGGCTGCATGTAATTTTGACATGCAATTCACATTTGCTTGTGCCGGATGGGAAGGCACTGCACATGATACAAGGGTTTTTCTATCCGTGCTAGGGAATCCAAATTTAAACTTTTTTGAGCCTCCAAATTGTAATCTTCATACTTTTATTATAACATTTTACATACTTGCTTTGTATAATTATTACAATACAAAACAAATTTTCAATTGTCAGGAAAATATTACTTGGTAGATGCGGGGTACCCACAAATGAGAGGTTATTTGGGACCATATAAAGGTGAAAGATATCACCTCCCGGACTTTCGTAGGGGTGCCGAACCAACGAGTCACAAAGAGGTATTCAACCACAGGCATTCTTCTCTTAGGAGCATCATTGAACGAACTTTTGGGGTATGGAAGAAAAGATGGGCAATTTTAAGGGATATGCCTAATTACCCGTTCAATAAGCAAGTGAAGATTGTCATTGCTACAATGGCTCTTCATAACTACATATGGAGGTATTCTGAACGTGATCGTCATTTTGATGACCCCAGGGATGAAGGAAAAATTTTGTCCTAGCTAAGAACATGTAAGAACATTTGAATACATATGCAAACTAATAACACTTTAAAGTAGGCATGCATTCAAAAACAATTCATAAAACCCATGACTTTCAAAGCCTAGTATATGGTGAACCATAAGACTCTTTAACAATATTAAAGAGAATAAGAATTTAGAGATTCTTTACCCTTGAAGCTCATCCTTGATTGCACAAGGGATTCACCCAAGTGGAGGGCCTTCAAGTCACCTCCTTTCTCCTTGGATCTTCCTTGTGATTTCCTCCCTTTTAGTGCTCCTTTTCTTCTTTGAGGATTTGAGGATTTGTTCTCCAAAACACCAAAGGTTTGGTGTCTCTAAGTCTCCACACCAAAGATGTAGTGTGAAGATGAAATGGATGACTTAGGGAAGAAAAGATTGCTAGATGTTCCTCCCCTAAGTGGCCGGCCTCTATGTAGAAAATGAGAGAAAATGTTTCACCCAAATTCTATTAGAAAACCCTAATTAGAAACAAAGCTATAAAGATGACTTTATACTTCATCTCTTAGGTTAGTGGCAAACTTGCAATTAAGCAAGTTCCCACTACCCTTGATATGGCCGGCCCTTCAAGTGTTATTGGGCTTAATTGCCCATTTTGTTTTAGTTGTCATACAACTTAAACATAATGGGCCTTGTGGACCAAAACATTTTTGTGCCTCGAAGCCCAAAACTAACTTAAACGCCCAATACGAACGTTTCGTATAATTAATTAACTATTTAATTAATCTTGACCATTCTTCAATTAAACCATTTAATCGCTTATCCATTTCATATAATTTCTTCACTTATATCCTTACTCGGTGTACGATCCATTAGGTTCCAATTAGCGAGGTAGTGGGCGATGTTACTCTTAACGATCGATTGTGAATTGAAACCACATTTCAATTCTCCCTTAAAATTAGTGTTTGCTAATCTTTAGGGCTTCCACAAACCATGGGTGACGCCTAGCAGCATGTCATGGTTACCCAAGCTAAGTAGAAGTGGTTGGAGAACCTATCCAGTTACAACTACAATGCAATACGGTCCTTCTCTAATACAATACTCTTAATCACATTGTTTAAGTGATAGTTTGTTTCATGTCTACTATCCAATGTGATACTTCTCTATATGATTCAATTGAATAAGATTTGGAACAAGCTTCCTAAGTCATATTCATATGCTTTGGCCAAAGACTCTCGAATCATATCTTAGAGTATTCTCCTTCCACCATGGAAGGTTAGAGATCCCTTGTCGTGCATTCATATGCCTACATGACTAGATAGCTTGACCCCAACAATGCCGTGGACACTCCAATGGAATGCCGTTGACATAATCAAAGATCAAGGACCTAACCATTAGACATCAATGATGCCTCAGGTCAAAGGACTACTTTGCATATTGCAACTATTGAGTTCTCACATGACATGTATGTTCGAACTCTCGTTTGATCGTTGTTCAGTGTACTCAATTACTCTTTCGAGCACCTATGTGTTTGCCTTAGTGTCCAACACCAAATGACTTGAGACTAGTTTATACTCACGCTTGAGTCGACATAACACATACTAACCTTAGTGGATTGTTAATGCCCAATTGGCAATCCTATGGCTAGGAACGTTTTAGGAATGAACATAAGAGAAAGGTCTCGTTAATTTAACTAACTTAAATCACTTGTCTCTTAGATCAAATACATTCCTTGGATTCCCTTATTGCTTAAACACAAGATACAATAAATAGTGATTAACAATAAGTTTTGCCCTTCATTAAACATATAAAAGTTTAATACATTAAGTATTCCAAAAAACTATTACATCAAATGAGTGGCTTTGTGGGCATACTTCCAACAAGGGACTTTTGCGAAGAAAGCGATAGTAGTGATGATGATGATGATGATGAATATCAAAATTATCAAGTTGAAGGATCACATGAGATAGAGGCATTAAGAAATAGAATAGCAACAAGTTTGATGAATGCATCTAATTAGACTAGTTTCAAGTACATTAACAATATTGTACTGATGAATCCTAGCTATTCACTCTAAAATATTTCTATTAAAGTAGTTTGTCATACTAATTAATATTTAAGATAAAGTTTATAAATATTTTTCTTCTAAAAATAAAATATATTTAGTAATTCACTTTTATTTGTTAAGAAAATTAAATTAATAGCACATCTAGTATTATACCCTTTTTGGTCATTTCACACAGTCACTGCTGTTTTACAAAAAAGTTTACCAAACACTATCATACTGATTTTTTCTTCCAAAAGCACTTTTACAAAAAAGTTTACCAAACACTTTGCTGCTTTATTTCACAGCTGCTTATTCTCACAGCAGTTTTTTTTCAAAGCACAGCAATACCAAACCAGCCCTTCCTTGGAGTTTTTCGACAGTTTTTCATCCAATTTTCTGACCTTCTTCAACCTTCCATCACCACCAAACCTCACCACAACATCCTATCACCTAATTTTAACCAAACCTGACGAATTTTAGCCCCGATGCGGTGAGAAAACCCACCGACGATTCCGGGTGGGTCTTGGCCTTGAATCACCATTTGTGAAACGATTTCTGTCGATCTATACCACCATTAAACTGTCCTTGAACCCAAGAACAAACCCAACCAACCATAGAGGCGACGGAGCACCGGAGGAGTCGAATTAATGCACACCTAAATTCTAGAGTCCCGGCTGGTTCGTGGCGATTTGAAGCTTTTCCCGGCCAAATTGGACTTGGCTACTCGGCAAGTCGGGGAGCCGATCATTATGTACAACAGTGCGTGGGCCAAGGCATCCCCTGACCTTCCTAGGCTAAATTTGATTCTCCAATTCTGTACATGAAGTCGGATTGACGAATTTCCGTCGTTTGAACTTAGTTCCATTAAGGTCTACCGCTTGATTATTATAGCAATCGACAATCTGACCGTTGGTTCGTCAGCAAACTTTGATATGTTATAGTACGTAATATTTGAGGATATTATAAACTTATGAATCGGGAATCCGACGTACGGATCTTCCCGAATAGGATACGTAAGTTACGTGTTCTATTGATAAGAATTTTGAGACGTGATTTGATAATTGTTCTAGGCGCCGATCATTCGTGACACCTTGATATTCGTGCTAGGAAGTTGTAGCGTGGACCTCAGGTGAGTGGATCTTTTTTTTTCCCTTTTTATAGTGTGTGTGTGTGTACACCTTACGGTTTTCCAGAAATGTTTTAAATTGATTATGCATAGCATGCCATGATTTAAATGTGTTATATTTAAATATTAAATTGTGATAAGATTTGTGGTTATGCCAAATGATCCTACAGAGGCACAGGTAAGTTATTATGTAATTGAAATGGTTGAATTGTATGAGCATGCATATATTCATTTATAACTCATCATTGTTGCACCCTGATGTTTGTGCTCCCACCCTGGGCCAGAGCACAACCTTCACGTGATTGTTCAGCTCCCTCACCGCACACTCGCCTTGGATCTAAGTTAGTTGCTAGCTTGTCGTATAGGTCGCATTAGGCGACTCCGACTCGTAGGTGACTCACGCATAG